TGGGTACCCTGTGTTAGTTATTTCAAAATCAGGAAATCTCAATTTAAACAAGCTGTAAAGCACAAATGATTTTCAAAACGCATTATTAGCATTCATTATTCCTTTACAAGTCAATGAAATTGCAATTGATTGAGTGTGGAATGAAGTTTTAGCAAATTCTGTCATTTGTCTAGATTTGGGCTCCCTGTGTAATCTGGTCAACACAAAACGCTTAATTTGACCGTGTTCCACCACAGGAATTTTTCGGAACTTTTAGTATGTTAGTTAGCACACCTATAACTAGCATTTGGCGGTGAGAAACTTTCTTTTGCAATTTGTTTGACCTGAAACCACAGGATGACTGGACTAGTGAATATATACGCTTCAAAGCAAGCTCTCCGAAAATGGCCATGAAGAAAGATAAATTGATATAGCTTTTACTTAATGAAATAATAAATATAAAATCTTAGAACAATCCCGTCAGGATCCAAAAGGCTACCTGCTATCAATGGGAGCCCTGAGTATTAACTATAAAATAATTATGTTGTTGAAATTGCAAAAAAACGGATTGATGAAACATAAAATAGGAATACTATTCATGATAATTTCTCATAATATCGTTAAACTTCTTCCTTCATCGTCATCCTCGGTAAGGGACTTGTTTATAGATAGAAAATATCTAGACCGCGGTCGGGAGGTTCAGGCCTAGCGTAGCGTCACTGCACATTGCCTATTGAGATCACTATTCAAGTTGGTTTTGCCGTTTATTGAGTAAACAAATGCAACTAGGTCAATATCTCAGTCTTCTTTGGTCTCAGTAAGGAATTTATTTTTCTGTAACTCTTCCTTGATGACTACCTTCTTGTTAAAGTCTTGTTCACAGTTCCCTGCGCCATTTTGAAAACTAGAGATGACCGTTTAGCGTACAATGTTAGGTACCTCTTTTCTCAACTTTAGACAATGATTAATATTCCTTGGTTTCAGATGCTTGTCTTTTATTCTTTTCAGTTTTTAATATGTTGTCGAGCTACGAAGCGGTGAGGCGTAGTTCCATTTTTATTAAAATCGGTTTGTTGTTTTCTTTCGCGGCTTGAGTGAAAGAAGCCTCTGGAACCAGGGTATAATTCATACGTTTCTGTCATTGAGACTTCACTGCTTGTCTAGCTTCGATGCAAATTCTTTGCTACCTTACACGGCAGAGAAATGTGAGGAATATTTAAGGCTATGAGATAAGTTGTTGTACGAACTCCATGGTTATAGTAAACTAGCAAAAGATAGCGGTCCCTAACAAGCGAATATTTAGATCCTACACCTCACTACCGCGAGGGCTCTCTATTAAATGCTAATTTAGCTGATATTTGTAATGAAAAATGATAGCGCTGGTTCGAATCGTATAGTGCTCATCCGTATAAAAAATATGTTTAAGTATAAGAAAATTTTCTAAATTCCTCTTAACATATGTTAAGGGACAGAAAATTCCACATATATTTTTATACCTTTTTCAATGTTTTTATTACGGAAATTACTCAATAATTATTAACAAAGGTTTGCGCATGTATTTTGTACGATATACAAGCCCGCGTTATTTTCAAAGGCAAGATACAACAGGTCAGTCATATGATTGTCTCTTGAGCACGTACACCTACGGTCAAAGTTGTGTAACCTCGTGTTAGGTTATGGCGTGTACGACTCTTAACCCCCCGATGTTTATTAAGTTAATCGCGTATTTAAATATCGGTCTAAGTC